TCCTAAAGCAATGCTATTCCCTGAAGGAGCATGGATGGTGGGCAGTTAAAAGTAGCAGATGTCACTACAAATGTCCACACCTTTGGTTCTTATGAGTACTAAGATGTTAATATGTGTCAACTGCATAGCATGAAGTCTGAATACAGCAAGTATTCAATAAGTGGTAAATGTTATTGGTAGGCATTATTCTAGAAAGTTAAAATATCTTTTTCCTCTCAACAGTGCTAACTGCTCTTTTTTCTAAGGAATTATGAGTAATTATGAAAAATGGGTATGATTGTAGGAAAATACACACATACACAGCCTAGGGCTACTGCACTTTATTTAAAGACCAAAGTCCATAGTTCATAACAATTCTATTCATAACAATTCTATTCATAACAATTCTATCCTGAGTCTGTGTGTATCTGCAATAGTGAAGCATAACTCACCAGCCATAGGAACCAATAGTCAAAAAAGTGTGCCTTTTTTCCCCAAGGTTCCGAGTTAAAACGTGAATTTACTTATATTTGGGGAAGGACACAGACAAGAAAAAGAGCTACTAAAAGAAAGCCTTGGGTTTTCTGAGAGTAATTTTGAATCAAGTTGTCATTACTTTAGGATGTGATTCTAAGTGCGTATCATCCAAAAGCTTTTGGTTTGTAATTTTGAGGTTTTTTTATATGACAGGGACAGAAGTAGTAAAAAAGAATTTTTTAATCCCTAAATATAGAGTTCTAAATCCTGAGTCCTTTGCAAATCAAAGCTTGCTGCCCCCAGCACAGAAAGTGTTTCTGAAACTACAGTGTTCTGTGGCAGTCATGGTAGTGTTGGATGCCAGGTTCTCCAGGCAAACATTGGTGACTGTGTTGGGCAATGAGGGGATGGAGATGTTTGTAATGGCTTTGGGAATTTCATTGGCAGTGGCTGTAATTGGTGATAATGAGGTTTGAGAGACAGAAAGGAAAGGGCTGGATTCACATAAAACCCATACAGATTGTCTGGACCCAGAGCCATGGGAAACATTATCTTCCAGTGATTTTTGAGCTCTCTTGGCATCTCTATGAGTATATTTTTCTTTAGCACTTTTGATGGCAGATGCAACCAGAGGTAATGAATGAAAATGGAGATAATGAATTATCAGCAATGAAGAACAGTTCTGATGGGGATGAATTATTAAAGAATACATAGGTGGATAGCAACTTTATTTAAACTAGGAGTGGCAACTAGGCTTGGAAGTACAGTTACTGATTGATTGACTGATTGACTTCGTTTTAGCTAATATTTATTGAGCATGTACCATATGCCAGGAACAGAGCTTTAGTTTTTCTTTTTTTAAAAGATTTATTTACTTATTTGAGAGCAAGAGAGCGAGCACACAGGGTGGGAGTGGGTAGAGACAGAGAATCCCAAGCACGAAGCCTGACATGGGGCTCAATCTCACAACCCCGAGATCATGACCTGAGCCAAAACCAAGAGTCAGACACTCAACCGACTGAGCCACCCAGGCACCCCCAGAGCTTCACTTTTAACATTACACTTAAATTGATGACAAGACACTGTGTTTATCCCAATTTACAGATGGAAAAATTGAGGCTTGAAGAGGGGACGTAACTCACCACCACCCCCCACCCCCCCCAACCCCCTCGGTCATTGACTGTTAAGTGTAGGAGCTGGGAGTCACAGCTATGCTCTGTAGAGAGTCAGTCCTGCTCATTCCATGCTCTGCTAGACCACCTGCCACGGACCCTCCTTGGAGTCTAACCACCATTAATGGGAGCTCCTGGCAAAATGTGTTGCTGTTGCCTGGGAGGAACACTTTATTCATCCATATGCATACAGAAGATCAGCAGAAATCAAATCTCTGGGAAATAGGGCACAGGGTCAGTCAACTGGAGAGAAAAGGCATGGAAATGTGGAAGAGCATATGTGTGGGGTCTGCAGTGGCGGTTGGGGCCCATTTTGGGGACAGAAGTGAAGGTGGTGTTGGGGAAGGAGAGTGGTGCTGGGGACAAAGTCACCCAAACCACGTAGCTACGGGGAGAATTTGTGTAATATTAGAGGAGGCAGGGGGATGCTGAGAGGAAAATAGTAAATATCCTTCAACCTCAGAGTCTAGTACTTTTCTTGAAAAAGAAGTCGACATCATATTTTTGGCCAATCAAAATTAATATAACTTTCTTAGAATTCTTGCTTGGCTATCAGTTCTGGAGATGAGTTCACTAGATGTTCATGTAACTCATTGGTTTTCACTCAAAAACTAGGAACCCGAGGTAGTTATGCCACATCCAGGCCATTCTGCAAGGTCCTTATAATGAAGTCACCAACAATTAATTTCCAATTGATTACCTTTAGAAATGTATTCTCGACCACTTTTTTATTACCACCCTCTAAGGAGTTTTTTAAGATAATTTTTCACCTAATTGCCCTTCTACCATAAAATTTTAATACCACAGATATACTGTATATTTGTTTAAGTACTGTAGGCTTTTGGCAGGTCAAAAAACATTTTCGGGCACCTGGGTGGCTCAGTCGTTAAGCGTCTGCCTTCAGCTCAGGTCATGATCCCAGGGTCCTGGGATCGAGTCCTGCATCGGGCTCCCTGCTCAGTGGGAAGCCTGCTTCCCCCTCTCCCACTCCCCCTGCTTGTGTTCCCTCTCTTGCTGTCTCTCTCTCTGACAAATAAATAAATAAAATTAAAAAAAAAAAAAAAGAAAACATTTTCATATCTAGGATCCATCCCCCCACGTACTTAAAACAATTTTTGCTGCCTTGAGGGAGGTCTTACGTCCATGGATAACTCATGCTTTCAAACTATCAAACAAGGATTGTGACCCTTCCGAAAAGGCCGTTTGCCTCTTATGATTGCCTTCTGCATTTCTGCACAGTTAACATGTATTCCTCTACCACCTCCCTTCCCTAAGTAACTGAAAGTGGGCCTGCAGAGGGCCCAGACACAACAGGAAACTCCAGGAGGTTTGCTCACCAGGTCTCTAACACAAATCATGTCAGCTCTGGGATATAGCTTCAGCTTTGGTTGCTGAAAATGAAATGCACACTTCAGTAGTGTCTAATTGAAAAAAAAGTATGTTTGAAAATTCTTTTTCTATTAACTTTAAGGAGGAGCAGGGTTGAAGTATCTCCCTGTCAAATGTAGAATAAAGATCCATAGCATGGTTTAAGGCACCTCTCTACCATTGTCAGTTAAGTGAACTCAATTACCTAGTGTGACTTTTCTACTGTTCTTTGTCATGTCCAGTAATTCTATGCTTCATGTGTGTATTTCAAAAAGGATGTTGTCTGGAAATGCTAAGCATGTGGGTTGTCACGTGCATTGGTTTGCTCGGGCCTCCATAACAAAGTACCACAAACTGAGTGGCTTAAACAGCAGAAATTTATTTTCTCACAGTTGTGGAAGCTAGAAGTCCAAGGTCGAGGTGTCAGCAGGGTTGGTTTTTTTCTGAAAACTCTTTCTGTGGTTTATGGATGGCTTTCTTCTCCCTGTGCCTTCTCATAGTCGTCCCTCTGTGCATGTCTGTGTCCTAATTTCATCTTTTTATTAAGGACTCCAGGTATATTGGATTTGGCTTACCCTAATGATATCATTTTAACACAGACCCTATCTCCAAATACTAGTCATATTCGGAGGTACTGGGGGGTTGAACTGCAGCATATGAATTTTGGAGGACATAGTTCAGTCCAAAACTAACATCATAGAAGAAGGGATGTAAAAGGAGCCTAGGTGAATCACAAATACGGACTTTGACTAAGATGTATCTGTTCAGATCCTCCCTGTTTCTTACTAGCCCTGTGTCCTCTTTGAACTTAAGTTCTCCTTAAAAATGTAATAATTATATCCATCCCAAAGGATTGTTGTGAGAATTGTACCTAATCAATTAATAACAGCTATAACTAATAAATATATATACACATGTCTAGCTCAGCATCTGGTTTCTAACTGCCTTTCCTCTTGAATATGGATTCAGACTTCAATGCATTGGGAATAATAAAACCAAGCAAGTCAGTTAATATTATTAATATCAAGAAGGGGAAAGAAATGAGCATTTATTGAACAACTGTATATTGAGTACTCTTATGCACATAGTAGGACAAATTTTTTTTTTATGTAAGATCTATAGATTAATTATTCAATAGTATTTATTGTGCATGCAGTATGGATCAGGTACAGAAAGTAGTCCTCTCATCTTCTGTGTAGCAAAGACCCTTCTTATTGTCCATACCCAGTTTCCTGTATTTCTTGCAGCAGATTCCCTGGCATTGGGGAGTTTCTGCAGGATCCAATAGGAAAAAAAAAAAAAAATTGTCACAAGTTGAATTACTACTGTGGCAACCAGATTTTTTTCTGCTATTGTCAGAAACAGTCTTTCTGTGTCCAGAGGCTGTCATGTGGTATTTCTCTGCTGGCCTACATTACGAATTCAGCTAATTGCAGCAATTACATGAAGAGATCACTGCTAGCGAGAAAAGCCATTATGCTGTTCCTGAACAGACTGCATTCCACAGCATTCATTAATTATGCCTGCCTATAGATTCACAACCACCAAAGCATGCACTTGAGACCACACACCATATGCACTGAAACCCTCTCAAAGTTTGCAGTGCCTTTCCATGCTGGCTTGCAGTTTTATATGGCCCACCATTTGTATATCCCTTCTCCTGCCCTTCAGATTCTCAAAATTGAAATTAAAATCAGAATAGAGTCAGGCTGTATGATGTGACTTACAGGGATGGGATAGTCTTGAGCCTCCTGGAACCTCTTGGAGTCATTCAGCTTCTCATAAAATCCATACAGGTTGTCTGAACCCATAGCCATTCACAGCTACACAAGAATTTAAAATGCTCTATCCTCCAGCATGCCCTCTTTAGAGAAGAGAAACATAATAATGATGGGAGGCAGGACATAGTGATAAGTCTTTGATGCTTTTGTTCATTGGTTTCCTTATCTCTCTCTCTCTCCTTCCCTTCCCCCTACCCCATTATTTTTCCTTTGACACACACAGCCAACATCAGATGACCTTGTTTCATCTGCTGAATGTTCAAGCGATGACGAAGACTTCGTTGAATGTGAGCCGAGTACAGGTAGGTTAGGTCAGTCTTGTTTTGCTTGCTTTTTTTTTACATTTGCAAAAAACAATACATACATATATGTGACTATTCATGTGTTCTATATATATTATAGTGTGTTAATGTGTGTATTTACTATATCTATATATGTATAAGCATACATATATAAATATTAATATATAATCAAAAGCATCAAATCCCATGGAAGGAGCAGATAAGATCCCAGGGAAATTTAACATCAGTTCCTGATATCCAAAGAAAAGTCCTGGTGTACCACCCAACTTTGAGCAATCGGACACCCAGATTAACTGTGGGAACAGGAAAAGTACAGCAGTGCCTGGCAGCTATGAAATTGACAGGGGGTGGGGGCATGAAGATGTCTATATTGGAATAACATCAAAACCCCATGAACCCAAAGTGGAGCTATAAAGATCATTTAAACCTCATGAATTGTTCTGAGCCTGTGTGGCAAACAAAATAAAACCAGAAACCCAAACCAAACAACAATAAAAAACCCCACACATTTTCCATGGGATTTCAACAGCAGTTAACATGGTATTATATTTATACTAATTTTGTTCATTGTGCGTTTAGAGAATTGTGCAGTAATATAGCATAGTAAACACAAAATTAGTACTGAACCATGCCATGTCAAAGGCTGAGATGCTTCAAAATGTATCTACTGTGCTGAAGTTAAGAGGACTTTTGCAACTCGATGCTTCAGTGTGTTCCCCATTCGCACCCAGATACATTTTGATTATTTTATGGTCTTTCTTTATATTGAGCTATATAATGTCCAGCAGGCAACTGCGGTCCCTGATTATTTCCTATCAATTTTTCCAAGTCGTCTGTTTTGAGACTTGCTATAAGTTAAACATTTATATATATATAATAGAGAACAGATATCATCGAATTTCTGTGTATATTTAATAGAATTAAAAGCTGGAGTTGGGTTAGGATCTTATTTCTGCAAAGGCTAAGAGAAACAGAATATTCTAGTTGATTTTTTGGGTTGCTTTATTTATTTTACTCTTTTCTTTAAAAAAAAAAAGGTGAGCCATTAAACATTTTCTTTTGCTAATTCTAGAGAAATTCAAGGTTTGTGGAAAAAAATAACAAAAGTAAAAACTTTCCATTTCTTACCCCAAGATGATTTACATTTTTTTTCATATTTTGTTGAAGGCCTGACTGGTGTCTTGCAAGTGGCTTTGAATCAGGAAGTTCTGTGGGTTTCTGTTTTTAGCATTACATAGAGACATAATAATAGGTAGGGTGTTTCCATTTTGGAGTGTGACCTGTTCCTTTAGGAGCTCAGTTGTGAAGAAGGAAAGTAACTCTGGTCTGGTGTGGTCAGATTTTTTCATATTATTAGATAATAATCTTAATGTACTACATGAGGTTTTAATAACACTGGAGGGCAGATATATCCAGTCTATACCAGAATTTGGGCACCAAGTTTTTATTCACTCAATTCATCCATTCATTCGTTCAATATTTCTGAGCCCTAGGACAGGATACAGTATATCTCTAGAGTTGAGGCCTTCCTGTTCTAATAATTTTCATAAATGAGCTGTTGGAAAATAGAATTAGGAGCTTTACTACCGAAATAAATTTCCTCTCCAAAATAATTCAGTTCAGCAAATATTTTTTGAGTTAACTGTGTATGTTAGACATGTACCAGATCTTAGGAATTCAGATATGAATATGGCATGATCCCCAAGACATTTGTTAAGTTAGCTGATTTCATGGCCAATAGTTTAAGATACTAGACTTTAATTTGGATTTTCTGTTTATCCCCTCTCTGGTTATCTTGCTTTCAAAGCAGTGATATCTGTATATATGCAACATTGTTGTTCAAAACTTGATTTTAAGTCGTCTTACAAAGATTAAGGCTTGACCATTACAAAATATTGCCACTGTCTTCCCCCACTACCTCCCTGCCTCCTACACATGGTCATCTCCATAGCAACCTCCGTAATAAAACAAAGGGCTTTTCCAGATATGATTCACAAGGTCTTCAGCTCCCCAAATTGTGGGGGTATATTGCCATTTGGTGTTGAACAGGCCCAAACCTGAATGTTACCAAACTAAGTCCATTTGCTTTTTTAGTGGCTGCACAGGTGTTTCATCTGATTCAAAAGCAGAGGACAGAAATTCAATGCCGGCATTTCTTGAGTAATATAATTACATGGGGCAGGTGGGAGATAAAAGCAGGTTTTAAAACAATCTGTTGTGTTCGGCAACAGGGTGTGGGAGGGGGCATATAAATAAAGTAGGTGACAGAATGTTCACCCTGAAGGAGCTAACATGTAGCTCTATGAGACTAATATTGATCCCCTCTGCCTGGGATTATTCAACTCCTCACATTTGAAGAATGAGTGTTTCTTCTTTCTAAATTTATTTATTCCATAAGGTATTCCTGATAAGTGATTCAGATACACAGGGAAATATGTTAGAGGCATATTTAATACAGGAGGGAGATAGATATTCCTACTGAAGCAGAGATTTTACCCTGGGGGCCTGATTAACACTGATGAAGGTTATACGCATAGAGATACCGAGCCCTCTTTTGTGTTCAATGAGAAATATTTCCATAGCCTTCACATCTTCCCAAAACAATTTGGATTAAAAATCAGGAAAATTTAAACCAGTTGTTTCTGGAGGTAGGTTTTGCCCTACCTCAAGAGAAATCTTCCATTGCCCGTGCAGCAATAGATAATGGTGACATTTAGATAACTTTGACATAAATCATTAGTCTGAGATTCTGTGTGAATACTGAGGTTAAAATTCTGGGTTTGAACATTCTAACTCACTGCCTCAGTTTCTCAAATTTTACTCTTTTCCAGGCCTGATGTTTGACAGAAATACACTAAATGTGGTTAATTACCCAGGCCTTGTTTCATCTGACTTAACAATGACCGTTTCTTCTCTCATTTTGTTAGCCAGTTTAGGATTTTCTAGCTGTCTCAGTTAGAAAGCATTTAACTTCTACAGCTTCTTTCCTGATTATTTAGGTTCACTAGAAGCTCATATTTTTCATAAATTTGCATAGTTCAGTATATGTTCTATTCAACAACTTTTGTTTTCATATGGGCATCAAATTTTAAATGAAATTATTTTTCTTATTTAATCTTCTTTAAATCAAAATGGGCTTTAAAGCTCCTGGTTTTGAGTCAGATGTGAGCAATTGCCTTTCACACCCACCACCCACTTTGGCAGTTAGGGATCACCCTCATTTGTACAGTTCAATCAGATCATCTTTAGGGACCACTTAAATTTGGGGGGAGTTTGGCTGATGATAGTCTAGAAACCTTTAAGTCCAATGAGTGTCAAATTTTCTCTGGATGTAATGAGTGAAAAACAAACAAAAAAACCCTAGACCATGAGAGTAAGGCAGAAAGTGAAAGCTCAAGGAGTATTTGTTGACTGAATTTGTATGACTCTCAAAATACCTCATAATCTTAAATTAAAATTGGAGATTTTTCGTATCTCTAACTTCATCTTCCCTTAAAGAGCTAAATAAAATCTGTTGAATTATTTAAAATATATGATTCCATGCAAATAAATATCACCCTAACAAAACCCACATTTCTTCTTCAAAAAAAAGAATCCTCTACTTTTTATAACAAGTCACAGGTAAAATTGCATTTTCTAAACATTGACATGGAAAAACTAGCATCGAAACTTTATAAAATCATATAAAGATACCTGCATTAAATGAAAATATTCATAAGAATATTTGAATAACTATTTAAGTACCTAAAAGTGAGGGTCAAGATTTTAATTTTCCTAATTTGTACACATGGATTGTATTCCCCGCAAAGGAAGTCAGTGTCTATTTAATATTCCAGACTTGTGTCTTTGCAAACAAACTCTTTCCTTCCCAAGTACACTTCTATTGATATGAAATTGTGCAGTAAACTCATATTTCATTGTTCTCACCTCTTTGGATCCAACAACAACCAAAAAATAGGGAAGCTGGGGAAGATTCAGATGACCACTAGAAAATGGGATTATTGATAAATGATATTATGGGAAGTCAAATTACAATTAAGATCTTTAGTAAATTCACATTTGTGATCTAAAGTATGGTAATTGATTCTGATATATAGAGAAATTGACAAAAGTCACTTCCCAAATGGAAAAGATATCTTCTCTCCCTTCCCTGGTCTGACCCCCACTGTCTCCATCTTTGGAAATAGAAATAATATCAAAACATTGTGATCTTAAGTTAGCGTTTGTGTAATTGAAAATCACCAACTTTCTGAATTTTATATATTTATAGTCTCAATATTCTAAAGTCCTGAAGGCAGGGGTCACAAAGCAGAGAAAAAATAAAAAATAAAAAGAAATGCCTTTTACACCTGAGAAATGGGCATGTCAACAATTAACCATATTAATTTATCCAGCCGTTACACTGGGATACATTTTTCTGGTTATCAGTTAGCCAGGTTTTTTGCCTCCACTTTTGTTAACGGGTCCTCTATCAAATCTCAAGGGATACTCCTTCCACCAGAAGGCAGACAGTAAAAGGAAGTATGAAACACATCCATCCATCAATAGGACTGTGCTAAACAACTTTCATAATGGTGAGATTGAGGGAGATGTTTAAACTATTGGCAGTAATTTGAGATCACAAAATAATTACTATTCCCAGAGTGGTTCTCAGATGTATTTTTACTCCTCAAATCCACAGCTCTCACATTTGCATTCAGTGTTTTTGCTACTTTGTTCCTCTTCGTTAGTCACACTATAATATTCAGTCCAGTGTGGGTGAAATTTTAAATCTGGCAAAACACCAAGAGCATAGCCTTATTTGTGTTCTCCAGGTGGACCTGGGTTCTTAATCTTTATCAGTTTGAGATTCCTCAGTATTTATAATATGAAAGTCTGGCACTGAATTGTTAAAAACTCACCAAATCCTTAGGGTTTTTATTTGCTGGATTGCCATGGAAAATGCAGCTGAAATGTTAAGATAATACTGATTTTGGATCAGAAAGATAAGAATTATTTTC